CTCTCTCTCTCTCTCTCTCTCTCTCTCTCTCTCTCTCCCATCACATCAGAATCCTGCCATGGATTTATCCTGCCTCTGAGTCTTCCTGGCTCTGCTTTTCCTTTCTTTTTCTAAAAAGAAGGTAATGTGGATACTTGAAAGAAGAACAAGGCTTATTACAATGCAACAAACACATTCTGCTGAGATTGTCTCTGGGATGGGCAGCTTGCCAGCAATGAAACATTTTGCTGGGTGAAAGAGAATTGTTGGCTCTCATCAAAGCAGCTGGTGTACATCAAAAGAAAATTGCTGGCCTCAAAGACAGAGGCTGATGTGAACGGATTGCTAAGACGGGCATGTTTGCATTTACAGAATATAGATAATGAAGAATTAACTGTCCTCAAAGTAGTTACAGTTTGAAAAAGGATGTTGGGTTGCAGGGGATTCAGTTGAAGAATAAATGTAGGGTTGATTCCTTCAAGCTGGTGCCAAACTCCTTAAGAGCCTTTATTTTTTCCGTTGGTGATTCTCAGTCCCTGCAGGATTTTGAGCTGATGGAGAACCTTCTGAAGAACAAGCAGGAAGAAGGTGAATGCTGGGACCAACGGAGCTCAGTTAGCGTCCGTTCATCCTTCACCCGTCAGGAGAGGAATCGGCTGCTTTGGGAAGACGTTTCGGTTATTGAGGAGGATGCCACTAAGATCACCGCCCTGAAGCTACGCCTGGACGAATCTCAGAAAGTGCTCCTCAAAGAAAGGGAGTGAGTGCCGCTTTCTGACAGCTCCTCTTCCTCCACCACAGGGTTCCTTCAGGAGTTGTGGTGGAATGTAGTCTGGATTCCCAGGAGGGAGGGGCTCTTTCCCAGAGGGCAAAGAGACTGCAGAACTTGGAAGGTCTAACAGGCAGGAAGATGAAAAGGGAGGACCCTCCTTAATAGTTCACAGAGTACATCTAAGAGTAATGCAGAGAGTTGCTTGTCTGGCATGATTGATGTGAGGCTCAAGAACCAAGAATGACCCGTGGAGTTACTTCTGAGTAATTTCCTTTATTGTTGTTCTCCTACAGACAGAATCTTGCCAGACTAAAGCAGCTATTTGAATAACTTAAAAGAATAGAATAGAGCTGGAAGGGACTTTGGAGGTCTTCTAGTCCTACTCAAGCAGGAGAACTTTAAATATAAGTAGTCCTCAACTTACAACCATACATTTAGTGACCATTCAAAGTTGCAACGGCACTGAAAAAAGTGACATGTGACCGTTTTACACATTACAGCATCCCCGGGGTCACGTGATCAAAATTTGGATGCTTGACCACTGGTTTATATTTATGATGATTGCAATGATCACCTTTTGTGACCTTCCGATAAGCAAAATCAATGGGGAAGCCAGATTCACTTAACAACCGTGCTACTAACTTAACAACTGCAGTGATTCACTTAAGAATTGTGGCAAGAAAGGTCGTAAAATGGGGCAAAACTCATTTTAACAATTGTCTCCCTTAGCAACAGAAACTTTGGGCTCAACTGTGGTTGTAAGTCAAAGACCACCCATACTTGAACAACTACAAATATACTCTAAGAATAGCTTGAGAGGAGCCCTTTTTAACAATCTTCCTGCCTGCCGGATTTTCCAAGCTACGCTGCCTCTTTGCCTTTTGGAAAATAGCCCCTCCCTCCTGGGAATCCAGACTGCATTCCACTACAGGAGCAACAGATGGGGAGCTTCTGCAGGGAGAGCTCCGTGCCGTCAATGCAGTTTCTCAGCCTTGCTGTTGTCTTGCCTCTTTCAGGGACAAGCTGTCCCTCAGCAAGAACATTGAGAAGCTGGAAGGTGAACTGAGCCAGTGGAAGATCAAGTATGAGGAGCTGAACAAGAATAAGCAGGAGGTGCTGAAGCAGGTGAGCTTCCCTTCATCCTTTGAACTAAATGCCATTGGACAGTGCCAGAAGTTCTTGCATTGGCCCATGCTGCAAAGTTGGGGTTGCCCAATCAGTTTTGGTCTAAACCTTGGCCACTTGAAGATGTCTGGACTTCAACTTCCAGAATCCCCCCCCCCCCAGTAAGCTTGCTGGCTTGCGAATTTTGGGCGTTGAAGTTCACCCATCTTCAAGTGGCCACGGTTGAGAAACACTTGCCTAAACTTTTCTCCATATTGGATGGATGTTAGCCTGGAGATGTTAGGCACTTTCTGTATCTCCCAAGACTTTACACCTCAACCGTTCCCTATTTTGCTTTCTCTGATTTGAATCCAAACCCCCAAGTTACCCCTTTGAAACATTTGGGGATTTGGATTCAAATTTCAACACCCGCAATACCACTTTTCTGGGGAAACACGTACACAACACAACTGCACATTACTCATCACTGCTTGCTCAAAACAGGCAAAGATACACACATGTCCATTGAATGTATCTTGGTTATTTTTCCTTCTCCTTCACTCCTCCTTTCCCTTCTCTTTCCCTTCTCCTTCTCTGCCGCTCCCTCTCCTCCTCTTCAGTGCTACTACTGTTTTGGAAGTCAGTAGGCACAGTCTAGTGGGGGCGTGGGGGCTGCAGACACGAAACCGAATAGCCTCCCTTTCTAATGCCCCAATCTGATCCACCAAGACTGATGTTGCACAAATGGCATTTCCAATTCTTTCTTTTCTCTCTAGCTGAACATCCTCAAGGAGATCCACCAGGACGAACTGGGACGTATCTCTGAGGATCTAGAAGACGAACTGGGGGCTCGCTCAAGTATGGACAAGAAACTGGTGGAGTTACGATCGGAGGTGAGACTGAAGGAGAGAGGGAATTCTCTATCGCTCGTGGGCACCTTCTGAATCCATCTTTTGTCCCATTAAAATTTAACAGCTGCTGAGTTCCAGGGGTGCTTGCTAACGTTTTAGAGCAGGGGTGTCAAAATGGCGGCCCGTGGGAAGGTCTGCTTGTCCTCCCAAATAAGCTCTCGGCTGGTCACCAGGTGATCCGGTGTCTGACGAGGAGCCTCCACAGTCACGCTTGGTTGCTGCTAATTGGTGGCCGGGCTCACACCTCTCTCTTTCCCCCCTTGCCGAAGATGGAGCGTCTGCAGGCTGAGAACGCAGCCGAGTGGGGCAAGCGAGAGCGGCTGGAAACGGAGAAGCTGAATCTGGAACGGGAGAATAAGAAGCTGCGGGCCCAGATTGAGGATCTCGAGGAGATCCTGGCTCGGAAACGGAGGCAAACCACCTGCACTCTCGACACGGATTTTAAAACCATCCAAACGGAGCTGTTTGAGAAGAATAAGGTAACTCGGATTCCAGTTTTGGTGGGGAAGGAAACCCCCTCTGCTCTGGGACTATGACTTGGGAGGGGGTGGGTTGCATGCAACTCTTCTGGGCCCGATTTGGATTCTGGATAGTACAGGCAGTCCTCGACTTACAACAGATCATTTAGTCACCGTTCAAAGTTACAACGGCACTGAAAAAAGTGACATACGACCGTTTTTCACACTTACGACTTTTGTGACGACCCTGGGGTGACGTGATCAAAGTTCAGGCACCGAGCAATTGGTTCATATTTGTGATGGTTGCTGTGTCCTGGATCATGTGATCCCTTCTGACAAGCAAAGTCAATAGAGAAGCCAGATCCACTTAACAACCAGGTTACTAACTTTACAACTGCAGCAATTCACTTAACACCTATGGCAAATGGGGCAAAACTCAGTTAACAAATGTCTCACTTAGCAACAGAAAAATTGGGCTCAACTGTGGTCATAAGTCAAGGACTACCTGCACATTGGGGTGGGGGCCAGCCTCCTCACAGTAGTGGGTGGGCTGGGAAAAATGCTGCATGTATTGCCTTTCTAATTACATATAATTTAAATTAAATTAAATGCTGTTAATATAACTGCTGTTGCTTGGGTCCCATGTATTTCTGTCGGTCTGCTGGATCTTGAAACAATAAATTGTATATGTTCCCAAGGCTGTTGGTTAACCACAGTTTGATATTATTACAGTTGGGTGTACAATCAGCCAGATGTTTAGAGTGGATTTGGCATTTTTATCCACCTACTGAATCCTTTCTAAGGACTTGAGGTAGGCAGATGTGGTATAGAGGTATCACTTGCAGGATGTCAGCTGTTCCAAGAAAAGCTGCCTTTTGCAATTGAGGGATGCTGAGTTTGTCAATGCCAATAGTGTTCAAGTGGTGCTTCCAGATGTTTTGGATTGCACTCAAGCCACCTATGATACGGTTGGTTGCACAGTCAGCCAGAAGTTTAGATTGGATTTGGCATTTTTATCCCATCTATTGCGTCCTTCTCAAGGTCCTGGGATATGCAGATGTTGTTGTTTGATGGCGTTCAAGGTCCCGTCCCAGGATGTGAGCTGTTTCCAGTAAAGCTGCTTTTTGCAATTGACTGATGGAGATTTTGTCAAGATGACAGTGATGATGACGAAACCTTTCAAGTTATAAACAATGCTGCAAAGAACTTTTATTATTGGGCAGATGCAGGTTTTTTTAAAAAAGGAAAAATCCAACAAAGTCAAAATCAACTCACTGGTGACTACCTGGACATGTGGATGTGGTTTTCTTGGCCATAAAACAGAAGCAGCTTCTGCTTTTCTTCTCCCAATTTCTGACTTCCCAGTCTAGCCAAATTCTGGTGGTCTGCCATCCAACCCATAACTCGGTTTGGCTTTTCTCATTTGTTTCTATGATCCAGCTTTCCCCCCCCCCTAATTCTGAGGACCATAGATCATAAGTATATATATTCCCATTTTATGCAGAAAAAGTCTATAATGGGTTTCCATTCAGCAATAAACCTAATTGTCTTTTCTCTAATCAAGCAAGTCAACTTGGCCATCTCTGCAAGTAGCATTCCCGTCAGCAACCATTTCTCTGTTGTGGGTCAAACATTTTTCCACTTTTGAGGTGCTCACGTCTTTTTTTTTTTGTCTCCCAAAACATACTATTTTTTTATTTAAAGTTTTGAAAGAATATAAATGGAGGAAAAAACCTCATTTAGAAGAGATAAGTGAGTTATATTCACAAAGCATTTCTAACTTTCAACAGCAGGGGACAGTCAAACCTTACTCTTGGCAAAAATGTGGTTTTTTTTGTTTTAAAATGACTGTGTCTTGCAAAACTCAGACTTATTGTGGTGTAGTGAATGCTATCACTCACACACACACACACACACACACACACACACAATCCAGTAAAATGGCCCTCTGAAAGAGGCAGTCTTGTGTGTAGAGAAGAGATTAAATGGAGATTCTCAGTGCTTTTCTGAAAGGTAACTGGACTGTTTTTTTCTTGAGGAGGAAGAAGAAGACATTTTTCCTCTCGCCCAAGAAGCTTCATCAGTGGTGCCTGGATGGTGGAGGGAGGAAAGGATGGGTTCTGGTGTTCCTATGGGAAGGATGCAAATGGGCCCACTTGGAAAGCCCGGCTGAGGGAGAAAAATGAAGATCTCTGTGCATCTTTCCAAGCATGCTTATACATCCAAACTTTGTTCTTATTGATAGGAGAAATGGTAGTGTTGTTTTTTTTTTTAAAAAAGGGCATCGGATGAGCAAAAAACAGCAAATGAAAATAAAAACCCAAAGGATGACTTTAAACTGAAACCAACTTTGCCTAGCAATAACTTAAACCCCCTTCCCTTTTGAGACCCAGAATCCAGGTCAAGTCCTCAACTTGAATCAAATTCATCAATTTAAGAGCTTCTTTCTTTATCCCAACTTTGGGATGGGTTGACCAATCAGAACAGGGCAGAGATGTTTCTGCTTCCCACAAGTTTGGCTTCCAGGCAGGCCTTCTTCTGTGGGGAGAGAGAGAAAAAAACCATCCTTTCTCCCCCCCTACACCCCCAATTCAAGCTGGTCTTGTGTCCTTCAGGAGCTGGCCGACCTGAAGCACGTCCATGCCAAACTGAAGAAGCAGCACCAGGAGAAGATGGCCGAACTGGGCCACACGATCCGGCGAGTGGAGCAGCATGAGGGAGAAGTGAAGAAGTTGCGCTTGCGAGTGGAGGAACTCAAGAAGGAACTGGCCCAAGCGGAGGACGAGGTGAGTCTCCTTCTGCCTCTGCAATGTTGACTTTCGGGAAGTCGCAAATATAGGAGTGCCCATTGCCGTCCTTTTCTCGTTCCACCAGCAAAGCTGAGCTAGCCCATTGGGTCTGAAGGGATCAAGATCAGCTGGGTAGGTTCTGGATATTACAGGCTACAGGAACTGGGCATGGCTAGTCTTAACAACTGTGGCAAGAAAGAAAATAAAACAGGGCAAAATTCATTTTAACCATTTTCTTGCTTAGTAACAGAAATCTTGGGCTCATAAGTCAAGAACTACCTGTAGTTAGGCCTGGCCTTAAAAGATGTTATGGCTTATTCTTAACCTCTTGATAGTTTTTTGCTGTTTGTTGTTTTCCCCTTAATATAGATCAGGAAGGCAAAACGTTTGCTCCAGACTTCAGCCAGATTTAGAAGCCAATGAAATAGTGCAAAAAATACATCAGGGTTAATTTTACCAAGCTCTGGTCATTATTGCCAAGGAAAACCCATTAAGGTCCAACCGTCAGCCACGATGAGGAAGAAAATGCATTTTTTATTTAGAACGACTCTCCTCTTTGGCCCTGGAACTGCCTTGTTGTGCCCAATGCTGGATGTGCCCTTGGTTGAGCTCACTTTAATTGGCTTCTATTGATCCTGTGGAGATGCTTTGCCCTCGTTCTTTTTATGTCGTTTGCTTACGTCTAAGTACCATATTACGCTATTCATATTTTATGGCTTCTGGAATCACCATTGGATATTAAGACCGGACATCCATGGAGCAGAGACTGATAAATCCCATTGATTTCAAAAGGAGCGACCGTCCCAGGGTTTTTAATGATTGTCGTGCACTAATTCTCTAGGTGGTTTGGCTGGAGATGGGAGAGAACGCACACCGCACGTAATAGATGCTCCTAGCTAAAGGTTTCTCGTAACACGAGAAAAGAGGTTCAAACTCTGGAAAGAGTACAGAGAAGAGCAACAAAGATGATTAGGGGGCTGGAAGCTAAAATATATCAAGAATGGTTGCAGGAATTGGGTAGGTCTAGTTTAATGAAAAGATGAACTGGGGGTGACATGATAGCAGTGTTCCAGTATTTGAGGCAGAGGTCCCCACCAGGGACTGGAGAGAATAGAATAGAATAGAATAGAATTACAGAATAGAATAGAATAGAATAGAACCTTGGAGGTCCTCTAGTCCAGCCCCCTGCTCAAGCAGGAGAACCTATACCATTTCAAACAAGCGACTGTCAAATCTCTTCTTAAAAACCTCCAGTGATGGAGCGCCCACAATTTCGGGAGGCAAACTGTTCCACCGGTTAATTGTCCTCACTGTTAGGAACTTTCTCCTTAATTCCAGGTTGCTTCTCTCTTTGATCAGTTTCCAACCGTTGTGTCTCGTCCTTCCCTCTGGTGCTCTGGTGAACAACCTGACCCCTTCTGCCTTGTGGCAGCCCCTCAGAAACTGGAACACTGCTATCATGTCTCCCCTATTTCTTCTTTTCTTTTAGGATTGTATGGGTAGATATTACGGAAGGGGTCAGTGGTGGGATTCAAATATGTGAACATCTGCGTGGATGCCACTTCCAGAAGTCCTTCCTGGGCAACCAAAAATTAGCTAACGGTTCTGCCAAAGTGGTGCAAACCGGCTGAATCCCACCACTGGAAGGGGGGCCTCTGAGCCTGCTGTGGGGTACCCCAAGGGGACGATTACGGCACAGCGGTCTTTTTATTTTTTTAAATTGTTTTGATGATTGTTTCATTTTTTTGGTTTCATGACTGCTGTCAGCCACCCAGAGTCGCTTGAGGTGGGCGGCCGTGTAAAACTATTGAAATGAGTCAAATAAGCACTCTGGTCTCTGCCCCTCGCAGCTGGATGACGCTCATAACCAGGTCCGCAAACTGCAAAGATCGCTGGATGAGCAGACGGAACAGAACGAAAATCTCCAAGTCCAGCTGGAACACCTGCAATCCAGGTAGGGGAAAGAAGTAAGAGACCTCTATTTGCTGTCGAGGGAGGAGAATACGAGAAGGAATGCAGGCAGTCCTCGGCTTATGGCCCTAACTGAGCCCAATAAAGCAGTCGTTGAGCAAATGTGGCCGTCATGAAGCAGATCTGTTTTGCACAATGGGTGTTTTTCGCCAGAAACCAGAAGTAAAAGCTGGAAACCAACAAAAAGCATCAAAAGTCACAGGATGCTGCAATCCGTCATCAAGATGAGCTGTTGGCCAGGCACCCAGAATGCACCCAGGGTGCGGCCACTGCAACTTCAAAATTGGATTGCATTTGGGGGTCTGTCATAAGTTCAGACGGTTGCTAAGTGACCAGATATAAGTCAAGGACCCCCTGTATCTCTCAGAAAATTTCATATATGTGCATAAAGCACCTTTTCTGAGACCACTGTAACTTCAAACAGTCATTAAACGACCAGCCATAAGTCAAGGACTATCCATAGTCTTCCACTGCTTCTCATCCTCGTGAACTTTAAGCTGTATGGACTTCAATTCCTATAATTCCCCAGCCAGCATGAAAAGTTGAATTCTGGGAGTTGACGTCCACCTCACTTTTAAAGTTGCTGAAGTTGAGAAGACGCTGAATTAATCCAATCTAGAAATTCTTCACTTCCTTTTGCCCCTTGCAGAGAAAAGTCAGGCTGAAAAAGGCTGTCTGTCATCAGTGGTCCTTTACAGAACAACATACAGGACTTGTGTCCTGGTCTCCATTCCTATCCCAGCTTCTGGTTTCTCCAGGACCATCTCCTCCTCCTCCTCCTCCTCCTCCTCCTCCTCCTCCTCCTCCTCCTCCTCCTCTTGTTCTTCCACTTTTAAAATATTTATTGCGCTCTGTTCTCAACTTCCAATTTTGTTCCCTTCTCAGGAACTCCAAAGCAATTAAGAGAAAAGCCACCTCCTAGAAAACTCCTGGTAATTTGTTAGCTGAACACAACATGCAAATTGGCTGCAGCTATAATTAGAGAGGAGAGGAAGGTGGGGGGGTTTGCTCTGAGGAGCGGCGCTTGGGCAAAAGAGGGCATCTTGGCGAGAAGCTGCCATGGGGGACCCAGCCAGGTGGGGCCCTTGTCTCCTGGGTCAGCTGTGGGGGGAGAAGAAGGGGGCCCCTTTCACTAGCCAGGGGAGAAAAGGGGTCAGGCAGAAGGTATCATGCTGGATCAGCGAGCCAATCTTGAGGAACGCCATCAGGGTCTCCTGCTTGAGCAGGGGGTTGGACTAGAAGACCTCCAAGGTCCCTTCCAGCTCTATTATTCTGTTAAAAAAGTCAAGATGGCATCTGGGACAGTGGGGGGAGGTGTCAAAGCCCCACCTTTTTTCATGCATCATGGCGGATTTTTTTTTTAAAAAAAACACTATCCCCGCCCCACTTCCGCAGCCACCTGGCTTGCAAGAATCTCTTCTGCACACTGCTCTTTTGTTTGAGTTCACAACGTGCAGCTCCTTTTGTGACTGGAGGGGCAGGTGAACGTTGTTGTGTGTGAAGGATTCACAACCCCAGGAAAAGAAAAAAAGGCCCGGCCTGGAAGAGGAAGGTTGAGAGGGCTCCGCTCTGAGCAAAGTGCCTTTAAGAGATACTTTAATTTTATGGCCTTTTTAGAAAGAGGGGTTTTTTTTTTTTAATTTGCATGTGTGCTTCTCTAGCAATAAAATACTGAAATGTCTGTCAGACAGATCGATTCTGCTCCATTGAAAGACGAGGCAGCTGGTTCTCTCTCTCTCTCTCTCTCTCTTTCTCTCTTTTTCCTTTCTTGCAAAGAGAAGAGGGAGGAGGAGGAGGAGAGGGGGATATGGTTTTTATCTTCTTATTTTATTGGGGAGGCCGCCATTAAATCAAAGGAGAATAATGGAGCTTTCCTCGGCACCCCCTCCGAGAGATCCCTTTCCCCCTCCCCACCTTAAATAATGTATGCTTTTTCCAGTAAAAAGCAGCTGAAGTCAGGTAGCTGCGTGCCCAGAGAATGCTAGGCGAGGCCTCGCTCCATTCAGGCTTTGTGGCTTTGGATTGGAAACTCCGGACATAAATTTTCTCGGGGTGAAACTTAATGCTGGGAAGATCAGGGAGCAAATAGTGCTGAGGATGCCCAGTTGGAGAGGCCAGCCGGATAAAGGCCTGCCTGCCCCTCCCAGCACCCACCCACCCCCCAGCAGCAGAAGGGGGGGCAGGCAGCTGTGGGCCTTCTCCAAACTCGCCCTGGACTTCAGGACATGCCCAGCAGCTGAAAGCAAATTTTAAGGTGGCACAACTTTCCAGATGCAAGTAATCTGATATAGAATAGAATAGAGCTGGAAGGGACCTTGGAGGTCTTCTAGTCCAGCCCCCTGCTCAAGCAGGAGAACCTATATCATTTCAGACAAGTGACTGTCCAGTCTTTTCTTAAAAACCTCCAGGGATGGAGCACCCACGATTTCAGGAGGCCAGCTGTTCCACTGGTTAATTGTCCTCACTGTCAGGAAGTTTCTCCTTAATTCCAGGTTGCTTCTCTCCTTGGTTAGTTTCCATCCATTGTTTCTTGTCCTGCCTTCTGGTGCTTTGGAGAATAGTGTGACCCTCCCTCTTCTTTGTGGCAGCCCCCCAAATACTGGAATACTGCTATCATGTCTGCCCCATTTCTTCTTTTCTTTAGACTAGCCAACTTCCTAACAGTGAGGACAATCAACCGGTGGGACAGCTTGACTCCAGAAGTTGTGGATGCTTCATTACTGGAGATTTTTAAGAAGAGACTGGACAGCCACTTGTCTCAAATTGTGTAGGGTCTGGAGGTTGGACTAGAAGACCTCCAAGGTCCCTTCCAGCTGTATTCCGAATCTGGATTGGAAAACTGCATGCAGCTTGAAAATCCAGATTCTCCATTTGGGAACGTGGGAGCATTGAACAGTTCTTGATATATCTCTATTTCGGCTTGTGTCCCCAGCCCAAGAAGCCTGTGTGTTAAAAGAGAAGCTAGGAATTGCCGCTTGATCTTGTATATTGAGTGTAGGCCTTAAATGTTTCAGTATCCCATCTGCAATCGTCTGTCTTTGGACTGACTTTGTAGAGCAAAATCTTAAGCAGCTTGACCTACTTTTTTTGGGGGGGGGGGTCTTGCAGGGTTTTTTTTTAACTACTTGCTTGATAACAAGGTCTGGAGAATTCAGAAGCTCACCCATATATCCTTCTATTCTCCATCTTTTCAGTTGCATCCTAACTAAATTGCCTCTGAGCGACATGCAGGCACATTAAACGGCTGCAAGTATCTGCGATGGGCGGGGGGGAAGCATTAGACTTTTATTTATAAATAACGAACATCCGGGGAGATGTAAATCCTTCCATCAACCAAGCCTCCTACTATCCCGTTCCTTGAAGGCGCCTACTAAGGACTTGCCGCTGTCGCATGATGGGTTCAGGAAAAAGTTTTGGATTCAATCAAAAATGTGTTGTGCTACTGAAAACGTGGGGGAGGCTGGTGGAGATTGTCCAGATGCAACTTTACCAGCGAGTTACACCCTCTTAATTGGATGACATTTAAATATAAAAGGGTAGTTTTGGAATCAAGTGGGCAGGGGTCTATTTATATCTCTTGATCTCTTGGCGGAAAGAACTGGTTTCTTCTTAAGCATTTAAAGCCAGGTTTGTCAACCTTGGCAACTTGAAGATCCATGGACGTCAACTCCCAGAATTCCCCAGCCAGCTTGGCTGGCTGGGGAATTCTGGGAGTTGACGTCCACGGACCTTCAAGTTGCCAAGGTTGACAAACACTGACCTAAAGTAAAAAATGAACAAAAATCTATGAGCTTTGATTATTTATATATGTATTCATTTATATGGTTTATACACTACAGGGAATCAGGTGGCTGAAAGCGGCTACAGGTAGTTCTCGACTTTACAACCATTCATTTAAGGACCGTTTGAAATTACAACGGCACGGGGAAAAAGGGACTCATGAACATTTTTCACACTTATGACCGTTGCAACAGCCCCATAGTCACATGATCAAAATTCGGACGACTTTCATCGACTCTCGCTTAGCAACAGAAATTTTGGGCTAAATTGTGATCATAAGTCAAGGACTACCTGTAACTGCAATAGACCAGGAGGCTGCGCAGGTAGGGAAGCTGGATAAAATTATGTTCCACCCGTAACCATCTAATTAAATTGTGTTGACTGTCTGTTCTTGGATTAAGACATTCCCCTAAAACAGGGATAGGCAACCTTGGCTCTTTTACGACTCGTGGACTTCAACTCCCAGAATTCCTGAGCCAGCCACGCTGAGGGGAAAGGGAGAGGTTTCCAAGCTGAGCCAGGCTGGCTCAGGAATTCTGGGAGTTGAAGTCCACCAGTCATAAAAGAGCCAAGGTTGCCTACCCCTGCCCTAGAATATCAGAGGTGGGGAACCATGGGCCCTTTAGGACTTGTGGACTTCAACTCCCAGAATTCTTGAGCCAGTATGGCTGGCTCATGAATTCTGGGAGCTGGAAGTCCACAAGTCATAAAAGGGCCATCGTTCCCCCATCCTTGCCATATATGAAGCTTTGGGTGATCCAGGATGGCTGTTTTTAAAGCTTTGTACCTCTTTGGGGCACCAATGCTTGCTTTCCCCTCTGCTTAAATGTAATTGTCAAAATACATGCTAAAATATCTAAGGAGGCTTCTTCTCTGTTCTCTGGGGCAGACTTCGCCGGCAGCAGAACCTCCCTCTGTTTGGGAAGATCCGTGGCTCACGCTTTGGTCCGGGTGAGCCTGGAGATTGTACCAGCGACCTGGATGAAGATGAAGACTTGAAAATCCAGGTTCCGTAGCAGCTGGTTCCACGTCTGGAGACACCGAAGGTTGCATCTCAAAAGGCCAGGAAATTGTGGAGCTGAGCCCAGTGGCTCTCGGAGGAGATGGTTCCTTCTCCCACCTTAGAGCCTTTTCTTTCACCTGACTCGAAGGATGATCAAAGCGCTCTAGACAAATGACATCAGCCGTCATGCGCTGGCCTTCATCAGAAGAAGATTTGTGCAGAAGTTCTGAGGAACCTTCTTGAAAGTCACACCCCCGTTTCTCATTTGCCTTCTCCCCGTTCAGCCTCAGTCCCTCCCAACACCACTGAGGCTAACTAGAGCAAAATACTATAAGCTTCACATAACCCAAAGCAGCGAGAATCATTTCCTCCCGGAATGGAGAGAACATGCTAACTGCACCTCTACAGCCTTAATTTCTCTCCCACACACAGCTTCTGCGAATGCTCCTTTCCTTGGACTTAAGTTGTGTGCAACTGCAACTCTGCAGATCCAAGCTTTGGGGATGAGCTCATCTGATACAGCAGGCTGAGGAGGAGGGAACCAAAGTGGGGGAGAGAACAAGTCAGCTTCTCGGTTACCAAAGGTCCCACTGAATCCAGGCACTTTGACTGTCACCTCTTCCCCAAACCAACCAGCCCAAGAACCTCTGACTTCCCTCCATATCTCCTGAGGTCTGAAGAGAAGGCAATGGAAACACCAGAAAACCTGAGAGGTGGATTTTTCCATCTCATTAGCCTACCTTCTATATCAGTGGTGGGATTCAAATAGGTGAACAACCGGTTCTCTGGGTGGATGCCGCTTCTGGAAGTCCGTTCTGGGCCTGGGCAACAAAAAATTAGCTACCGGTTCTGCCGAAGTGGTGCAAATCGGCTGAATCCCACCGCTGTTCTATATTTGTATGTGTAAATATATGTTTTGTATGATAACATTGAACTACCCATGAAATTCCTGCCTACCTACAGGAGAAAAGTTAAGAGTGAACCTATTTTCCAAAGCACCTGAAGGCCAGACAAGGAATAACGGATGGAAACTGGTCAAGGAGAGATTCAACCAGGAAATAAGGAGAAATTTTCTGACAGTGAGGACTATCAACCAATGGAACAGACTTCCTTCAGATGTTGTTGGTGCTTCATCACTGGAGGCTTTCAAGAAGAGACCGGACTGCCATCTGTCAGAAATAGTGTAGGGACTCCTGCTTGGGCTGGACTAGATGACCTACAAGGTTCCTTCTATTCTATTCTGTTCTATTCTATTCTATTCTATTCTATATTCTATTCTATTCTATATTCTATTCTATTCCATTCCATTCCATTCCATTCTATTCTATTCTATATTCCATTCCATTCTATTCCATTCTATTCCATTCTATTCTATTCTATTCTATTCTATTCTATTCTATTCTATTCTATTCTATTCTATATTCTATTCTATTCTATTCTATTCTATTCTATTCTATTCTATATTATATTATATTCTATTCCATTCCATTCCATTCTATTCTATTCTATTCTATATTCTATTCCATTCCATTCTATTCTATTCTATTCTATTCTATTCTATTCTATTCTATTCTATTCTATTCTATTCCACTCCACTCCACTCCACTCCATTCCATTCCATTCTATTCTATTCTATTCTATTCTATATTCTATTCCATTCCATTCCATTCCATTCTATTCTATTCTATTCTATTCTATTCTATTCTATTCTATTCCTTATTCTATTCTATTCCTTATTCTATTCTATTCCATTCCTATTCTATTCTATTCTATTATTCTATTCTATTCTATTCTATTCTATTCTATTCTATTCCATTCCATTCCTATTCTATTCTATTCTATTCTATTCTATTCTATTCTATTCTATTCTATTCTATTATTCTATTCTATTCTATTCTATTCTATTCTATTCTATTCCATTCCATTCCATTCCATTCTATTCTATTCTATTCTATTCTATTTCTAGATATGTGATGTCCCAAGGATGCTTTTTTTTTTCCTTCCAAAACGCAAATGGACTGGTTTTTTGAGGAAGAAGAAGGACAGTTTGCTTCTCCTCCAAGAAGCTTCATCAGTTGTGTGATGATGAAGTCACCAAACTGGTGAAGCTTCTTGGGCGAGAAGCGAAGCGTCTTCTTGTTAAAAAAAACAACAGTCCAGTTACCTTTTGGGGGGGGGGGAAAGCACTTCTGAGACAACTCTGACCAGGATGATAGACAATGATACGCTATGATTCTTCAAACCATCTGCTTTGTGCCAAAAGATCTAAAATATCCACTTGTGGGGGAAGAGGCAACAGCACATCAATTTCTTTCCCAGCTGATGCTTCTCCAGTTAGATTTAAAGAGCCTCCAGTATTAAACCATGGTTTATGTGGCTTTCCCTAACAGGCTACCTTCCAGGTGATACTTCTTCTTTTCCTCCTCCACGCTGGCTGAGGGATTCTGGGAGTTGAAGTCCACAAGTCATAAAAGGGCCAAGTTTGAAGACCCCTGTTCCTAGATGGTTGCTTTGGATCTGTGTCTCTTCCCTGTTCCATTCCTACCACCTTTTCCTTCTCCCATACTTCCTGCCTTTCCCAAAGACTTCCAAGTTTTTTGCAATTGCAAGCTCCATTCTTGAAATCTGGAGAGCTGACCGCTAGTCAGGAAATACATGACAGCACTCATGCTTTGCTGTGTGTTGGTTGCATTGTTTAGAGCAGTGTTTCTCAACTGTAGCAACTTGAAGATGTGTGGACTTCAACTCCCAGAATTCCCCAGCCAGCTGAGTCCACGTATCTTCAAGTTGCCAGGATTGGGAAACACTTGGTTAGAGACCTGGGAATCCTGGTTGCAATACAATTTAGGTTTTGTTGGTACTGAACGCACAAAACCTTATTTCATCTGGTGCTCTTTCTGAAGCTGTGAACAGATGTTGAGTCAACCTCTGGGACATGGAAGATTCCCATAGGTACCATTGATTTCACAGCAAAGGAATTATTTGTTCCAACTTTTTTTTAATAAACAAGAGTTTATACTAAATGTGTTGGGTGGATTTGATATGAAATGAAAAACTGCTGCAGGATTTGGGAATGGCCAGTCTAGAGAAAGGAAGGACTGGGATGACATGATAGCAGCATTCCAGTATTTAAGAGGCTGCCACAAAGAAGAAGAGGATCAATTTATTTTCCAAAGCACCTCTTATTGGAGGAGACTTCCAATGATGGATTTGGGGGGAGGGGCAAAAATTCCACTTGATGGTCTCTCTCTCTCTCGATCGATATTCTGACAAGCTCAGATTCTTCCTTTCTCCCCGGTTTTATTTATGCGTATGCACGCACGGGCGTGTGCATTTGAAAGGATCCTCTCCACGAGTTGCCCGATGAATAAAACATGGAGCCTTGCAATTACCAGCTCACCCAGGCTTATTTGCCTTGGCAGCTAATATGGCTTTGGAGAGGAGCCCAAAACAATGGTTAAAAATTAAGCAATAATGGGCCTGTGATAACCATTTTATAGCAAACCTGGAGTTCATGTTTCCACCAGTGTGACTTTAGAATAGAACAGAACAGAATAGAGCTGGAAGGGACCTTGGAGGTCCTCTAGTCCAGCCCCCTGCTCAAGCAGGAGAACCTATACCATCTCACAAAAGTGACTATCCAGTCTCTTAAAAATCTCCAGTGATGGAGCATCCACGATTTCTGAAGGAAATCTCACTGTCAGGAAGTTTCTCCTTAATTCCAGGTTGCTTCTCTCTTTGATCAGTTTCCATCCATTGTTTCTCATCCTGCCCTCTGGTGCTTTGGTGAATAACGTGACCCCCTCTTCTCTGTGGCAGCCCCTCAAATATCGGAATACTGCTATCATGTCTCCCCTATTTCTTCTTTTCGTTAGACTAGCCAAACCCAAGTCCTGCAGACGTTCTTCGTATGTTTTAGTCTCCAGGCCTTTGATCCTTAGTTGTTCTTCTCTGACTTTTTTCCAAACTCTCAACATCTTTTTTTGTGATATGGGGACCAAAATTGGCTGCAGTGAGCTCACTCCCTCCCCAGACTAAGATGCAGAAGCGCAGAAGGAGTTTTGGAAATGGTTTCCAGGGAAACTACAGGCAGTCTCTTCGGATCTGGACCTCCTTGCAAAGAAGGAATGCGTTAAAGGGGCGGACAAACACTTGCAAACTGTATGTCTGCAGGCAAACTGTTTATCTGTATGTGCTCCATCACTGGAGGTTTTTAAGAAGAGACTGGACAGCCACTTGTCTGAAATGATATAGGGTCTCCTGCTTGAACAAGGGGTTGGGCTAGAAGACCTCCAGGGTCCCTTCCGGCTCTGTTCTGATTCTGTTCGTTACAGGAACCTTTCAACTTTGAGAACCAAATGTCTGAGGGTTATTTTTCTGTTTGCTGTTTCCTCTCGGTGTCCTTTTCCTTCTGTGCAGTATCTAGTGAGATTGCAAGTGTGGGAGCAGGAACTGCTAAGTCTTTTCATCTTTTTTCTGGGAACCACTCAGGCAGAACCAAATATAAATGGGGGGAAATAGACAAACACAGGAAGCCTGTGTCACACCCAGCTAGTTCATGAAGGCCACTCTCTGTGGGAAGTGCCACCTCCACCTTTCATTTTCTCTCTGACCTCAAGGTTGACTACCCCCCCCTTCAGAAACCGTAGCTAGAGTTACACCTCTCTCTAAGGAGACCATTCCAAGTATCTGATCAGTGCTGGGCTACAATCAATAGCAGCTCTGGCTGTTGCGTAATAAATTGGTTTGTGTTCAAGGTGCCTCACGTCCCTTTGACTAAACAACTGCCCAGCTGGGAAATATGATTCTTGAATTAATTCTGCAGCAAATGATCAAGCAGGGAGCCCTGATCTAACACGCCTTGTACCTCTTTATTTGTCTCTCTGAATTCAGGCTGCATCTCGTCTCCAGGTCTTTGTCTGGAAGTATTGGAAGAGTCTATCAGCCTTGTTCCCACTTCCAGCGCGCCCTTTATTTAGAGGTTCTTCTTTCATAGATCTATAGCAGGGGTCT